TTGTTATCAAGGTTGTTATCAACAATATTAACAATTGATTAATTATTTTAACTTGGTCTAAAGCCAAGTGTATTTATGCCTCTTGGGGCAGTACAATTAATGTGACGTGTGCTATTCTACTCTCCAATAATATGCTTTTCAACTAATTACTAATTCTAAATAAATATTTACATCAGATGAGTAGGTTAATATAGAAATATGAATAGGGATAATCTTTCATGTGACACTGTGCTATGTGTGGCACAGCTGTTACAATGATATAGAAAGATGGGTTGTTGGTTGTGATGCAATATTTAGTGCATCACATGTAAGGTTGCTTGCCAAAACTCCTCCAGAAATCAATCAGCAGGGTTTTGGCAGGTTACACATTAATTTTTTATTGGAGTTTTGCATTTTGAGGTTTCGCCATTTCAGCATAGTTTCAACAGGATTTTTGATAAGATTTAATATAGTTTTGTTGTGGTTTCAGCAATTACTAAGGAGGTTTCGCCCACAACCTTAATCACATGACTTCCGTAGTAAATTCGTTCTAATTGGTCAATATTAACCAGGTAATTGATAGGTCCAAGATTTATTATCTCACAATATATATATTCAAAAAAAAGGAACAAAAAAATTTTTTTATCAAAAGATTCAGTGTCTACCATATTTTAATTACCAGAAGACAATTTAGAAGAAGAAAAACAACTAACAATAATAATAAATCATATATATAACTAGAAACAAATGTAGAGAGGATCTATCACCACTATCTTTTTATTTAATTAATCAATATCCACATACACACATTATGTATATTAATAGGTATATATAAAATACCCAATCTTTGTCACTTCACATTTGTTTCCTCCTTTTCCTGATATCATTATAATTATTCCTACCATCATAAGAATAAAACATAAAAAAATTCAATATCTTTATCCCTTAAATGGACAAAAATTATGTCCAAATCTGGATGTAATTTTTAAAAAATCTAGACCCTACTAGATAAAAAAATATTAAGCAACTCTTATTTTTATTTTTATTTTTTGATAGAAAAGGTCATATAAATTATTGATTTCAACCCTGGGGTTCATAGATATATTATGTAATTTGATCTGCTTAACAAGTCTTGTTAATAGTGTCTGCATATCAGCTAATAATTTTAGGGAGGGTTATGAGATCTACGTAACCATATCACAAATTTTTATATATGTTAAAAAGATCCGCAAAGAATTTTCATAAAAAAAAAGGAATCCTTTACGTTTTCACATATTATCTCTTTATTTGTAATACGCAACCCCCAACGAAATTTTTTTAACGGAAATAGGGTGTTTTGAATATCATTATTAAATAAGAAAGGTTGTGGTGAGTCTGTAGGAAAAGACCTTTTTTTGTAATTTATGAATCACAATTGCAATTTCGTTTAAGGGAAAAAAATAAAATAAAATATTTGGCTATTACAATAAACATGAACACTCTATATAGCATTTAAATCTTTATTTAATTTATTCAACTTACAATTTTTTATACTAAAGGTTTGATTTATATATTTAATTGAATCATTAATTATGTTGAATGAATTAAATATCATAAAAATCAAACTGCTTTCACTTTATTTGATTCTTCAATAGAATTTTCATCAATTTCTCAATTACATTGTAATTTATCTGTATATTAGTATTTGAAGTGTCAAAATGTTCTCCAAAATAATTTCTTTTAGTTTGAATTGTGGCATTTGGACAAAGGCGTAAATCATCTAGATACTAGACTAGCACATTGGTATTTGGAATTTTGCAATATAGACATTCAAAACGTAATTGCTTATAACCAATTAACATTAGCAATATGTTTAAATTCACTTTTGGCAAGTCATGACAAAATATATATATATACTGTATCGTAATATATATTATTTAATTTTCAATTAATTTTTGTGTGCAACATTACATCATATTATTTGGCAGGGATTGGTTTACATTACTATATACTATATAGTTATAGAACTATACGCACTTTACGTATATTACCGATCTGCCCATCTCTAAAAAGGACAAAAGGAATTACAATTTAACCCTAGATGTGGGTTTAGTAAGCAGAATATTATTACATAATGCGATAGATAATGATGCTCAATTTTTAATTTCATCTAAATTATTATATTTTATGTTTTTCAATTAATTGTGTCATCTGGTTAGATTATAAAGGAGTATTATTATGAAGATAATTAGTTATGAAAATAAAAATAACTTTAATACTATTGTTATTGGAACACGCGAGTATTTATTTATTTTATAGTGTAACATTTGAAGAGTCAAAAGTGGACAAATGGCTTTTGTATATATATATAAATATATAGTACAATATTTTGCTTATTGCGGTAATGAATTCGTCTATGATTTAAATTTGGTTAGTTCACGCACGCAAAAAACGAATTTAGAAAGTATCAATAACGCGTATTTATTTATTTTAAAACTGTGGTTCGATTTTTTTGTTTACAAAAAGAATTTAAGTTTTATAAACATCAAATGAAGAGTAAATTATAAAATTAATGGCGCTTTTTTAACTGAATTACAAACTATTTTCTGTCAAACGACTTGTGACATACTCGTGAAAATCAAGTATGTCAAAAGTATGTTTAAGTGTAAATTGATAAATTGGTCGTTTATTTATATTAACAGTACTTTAAACAATTTCTCACAATCATCTACATATTCTACTACATCACCTTCAACTTTTATTTCGAATTTACACAATAAATATAACTAATACTTTAAGTGAACCGTCCATAACAAAGTAGAGAGTATGTAGATTTCGAGTAGAGTAAATATATTTTACAAAATTCAGTATCACAAATTCTCTAGCACACACAAAATTTGTCATATACGATATAGGGAAGAATTGGCTTTGACAACAAACTTCACTATTATTACATAGTGTGTGATTGATTATATAAAAAGATTAGTGATATATGCAACTTTATTAAGATAGAAAATTATGTAAAAAAAATAATTATTTGGTAATCCAACTATTCAGCGTGCTTTGTTTGCATTTTTTAGAGTAGTATTCTAGATATGTGGTTTTTAATCGTTTTTGTTGAATTAAATTCAAAGATAAGGGTTTCAGGTAGATCTTTAATATAAGAAAGAACAATTTCTAAAGATTCTAATACTTCTTTTGTAGTAATTCTTTGTTTAACAATCGATATTTCAGCTGTTGGTTTGTTCTTACATGATTAATAATTCTTTAACAAGAATTATATCGTCTAGAATTACCAAGTGCTTGGTGGAACAATATCAGGATACTCCAAGGCTTTATCCTTTCGGTTGATAGATAACCGCTTATCTTTATCTTTTAAAGTGTTGCAAACAGTAAGTTCTGCAATTCCAATTTTTTTGTCCAAGTTCTTTATATGTGAGCGAGGGATTTCTTCCATTAAATTCACAAAGCTGTTTTTTCTCGCCCTAAAAGTCAAAACTTTTTTTGTTTGATTGATCAATTGATGATGTTTTTATTTTTATTAAATATCGAGAAAGTAAATAATTTTTAGCTAAATAGTTTTTAATAAATTATTATAAAAAACATTGTGCATTTCCTAATTCTTTGAAAATTATATTTTTTTGCAATTATTTTGTTTTCGCAACACATTACTAAATTCAATTACTTTATTTTCACGCGATACATTACTAAATTTAATTACTTTATTTTCATGATTAATTTCCAAATTTTTATCTATAATACTTTAAAAAAATTTTGCGGCAAATTACTAAATTCAAATTCATTTGTTGGTTGGTCATACTATTATGTAATACAATTTAAGTTACGATCGACAAATTATCGAAAGTTTTTTTTTTATCTAATTAATATATAATTATAATGGAGCAAGGAATTCCGACTTCCATTATATTGTTACTATACAATATATACAATAGTTATCGGTTTTGTATATGTATTAATATAGTGTTGTGTTGTTTCATATTACAGCATAAATTTGGCAAACTGCCTTGTTGATCGAACTTGTATTTTCCTGAAAGCAAAAATGAATTTAATTGCAAAATTTTTTACAAAATCTTTATTATTTAAATTGAATGAAATAATAAATTTTAATTATTTTACAAAAATTTATACTGTAAATGCTCTTAAAACATACCTAAAATGTACACGAATTCTCTAAACTTGAAACATACTTGAAACATACTTGAAATATACTTGGAAAAAAAACCAAGTAACCTTTTAAGTATGTTCAGGTACATTTTAAGTGTGCCGAAAAGTACCTTAAGGGAAAACTCACTCGATAAGTCGTACATTTATTTATATTTAAACAATTTATTGAGAGGACCAACTCATCGAGTTTACCTATACAAGGAAAGAAACCGGATATTATACTGTTAAGGAAGCTGTATGGTATGATTTTGTACACTTATAGTTCATTTAAAATATTCTTTTTTTTTTTTATCAATATGTTTTAGGTATATTTTAGGTATAAGATAATATTTTGAGTACATTTTAAGTATCTAGAGCCGTTGTATTGTATACTGGTAAACTCGATATGTCTGACATTTATTTATATTATCAATTACTTTCTTTAAACAAAGCTTATCGAATTTACCTGTGTATATATACTTAATTAACCTTTTAAAAAAAATATGAACTTTTAACACAATATGTTTTCACGTACTGCTACTTGTACACTTCACATACACACACATATGTATCAAAAAATCAACTTCTTATGTATTCTCTATGTATAGGTTGATCGCCATATTAGACGTCTTGACGACGGTCTTCGCAAGCTTGAAGGTGAACAAATGATGGCAGGTCCAGGTAGAACAAATGACAACAATTCCAATACGGCAACCAACAACAATATACATCATCACGCTCGCGAAGAATCATCGTCACCATCAACAACAAGAAAAGGCTGAAAAGGCTGAATTGAAATTAGCTAAATACGAGTGCAAACATCGATGATACAAAGGTGGAAGAGCAAATTTTATAAATATCAAAAGTCCTTTATCACTGATTTTAACTAATAAAGAGTGGAAAAGGTCTCAAAACAAAACTAAAGTGGATCATTATAAACGATGACAAGGCACGTGTTTTTTTATGCAATTTGTTATAGCCATAACTTTACATCTTCTTATTAAAGAAAGTGTGGTTTTATCTAGATATATATCTTGTACAAATATTATTAGTACAAGTCGGACGATAGTTTAATTGAACTAAAATCCAAATCGACATCAACAACAAATTAATAAAAAATATCTATACTTCTCAAAAATATTATAGATCATTTGGTTTTAATCTTCAAGTAACAGTATTTTGGCCTTTGTTAAAAGAAGATAAGGACAGCATGGTGCAAATCTTCTATTGAAAGAAAATGATATCGAGACTTTTCATTTTTTGACAGGTAGTCCATTAGCTATGGATTTGGCTCCAAGAAAATTTAAAAGAATAGCTTTCCTCCAAGACCGACAATCCCATTTGAAGACTCAATTGGTTACCATATAGAAATGTAAATACTTAACCACAAAGAATACACAGCCAAGGATGGATTTGAAAACAACAAGCAATTGAGAATAATTTCCAGGGCAATATTACAAGGCTCTTTCTGATTCTATTCTATCCAAATTATAAAAATGATAAAATTTGCGTTTATTCAACTACAAATGACTTCGTTGAACATCTACAGCAATTGATCAAAGTCGGATTAAAATCGACAAAATCTATTATGGCTTATATTTTAATTTCTATGAACAACAATGAAATTGGCGGTACACTTTTAGATTATTTTCAGCTTGTCAGGAATCCGACAAAACTTGAAATTGTTGAATGCTGTGCTGCAGAAGCTATTAAGAAATTGTTCTTCTTATTTGTGATTTTATCTAAATATATATATCTTGTGCAAAGATTATTAGGTACAAGCCGGACAATAGTCTAATTGAACTAAAATCCAAAATGACAACAACAACAACAACAACAACAACAACAACAACAACAACAACAACAACAATAATAATAATAATGGCACAGATCAAGAAATATCCATAGCTTCTCAAAAATATTATATAAATCTTTAGCTTCAAATCTTCCAGTAACAGTATTAGTGCCTTGTTAAAAAAAGATAAAGGATCTTATATTAAATATTAAATTTGCACCCTTTCCTCCAAGACCAAAAATCCCATTTGAAGACGCAATTGATTACCATAGAAATGCAAATACTTGATAAAGAATATACAGCAAAGGATGGATTTGAAATTGAACATAATAAATAGCCAGAGCAATATTAATTGATCCTGAAATACGAATTGAATATCATGATGTATGTAAAAATTTAATGCTACAAGGCTCTTTCTGTTTCTATTCTATTCAAATTATAAAAATGATAAAGTTTGCATTTATTCAACTACAAATGACTTTGTTGAACATCTACAACAATTGATCACAAAGTTGGATTAAAATTGATTTTATCAAAGCAATGATTAACTAGGGCTTTAAGAATGTCATGGCATGAAAAAAAAACGTAATGTCACATAGACAATTCTGTCATATTCAGGATAGCAAAATTTATGGTTTGTATAATTTCAGCTCCTACTTCATCTGTTATACATGATAAAAAGCGAAAAAAATTCACACCTGAATGTGATTTTAAATTGGTGATGTATTTTTATTTTACTCTCAAATTAAAAAGATCCAAAAAATATTGACAATGATCGTTGATGTCGATGCAAACGTGGGAGGCGAAAGCGATAGAAATGATGGAAGCGAGGATAAATCAATCAGAATAGAATAATGAAGAAGAAAGCGATGGTAGTGATAATAATAATTAAAAATGATGTTAGTTTCCTTTTTTTTTGAAAAAAGAATAGAATTTTATCATTTTTTTTTTGTGATAGAAAATCCAATCGCGTGAATTTATTAATTAAAAATTTTGGGTGGAGTGGGGATACAAAATTCTGGTCGATTAATTTGAATTTTACGCATAATATAATATATTTACGCACTTTCTTTTTCTATTCATCTTTTTTTTATTTTAGATATATATGTAAAAAAAAAATACATGATCCACGTGAAATTTGGTCCATCTCCAGTTCTAAATAATTTCTCGATTTACATCTTTAGGACTTCTGTTGAGTATATGCAGATTCATTACTGTACATTTCGTCCGGTGAGTATATTACAGATAGTAAAATTACGGCAGCTAGATCAGTAAGCACAATTATAAGTTCTCCTCACCTGGCCCAAAAAGGCATGTAAGTACAATTTATAAATTAAATTACCTTAAATGACTCTCACTGCACGAAGTGTACTGTATTCAATCTAACACTACCTACTTCTGTTGATATTAATAGCTTCTGCAATATAACATTCAACAATTTCAAGTTTTGTCAGACTCCTAATAACCTGAAAAACTTCTAAAAGTGCACCTCCGATTTCATCAAGATGTTGTTCATGTAAATTAAAATATCAGTCATGACAGATTTTGTCAACTTGAATCCCAATTTCGATTGTTATAAATGTTCAACAAAATCATTTGTAGTTGAGTAAACACCAACTTCATCATTTTTATAATTTGGATAGAACAGAATCAGCAAAGAGCCTTGTAATACTAAATTTTTCATGCACCGTGGTATTCAAATTCCTACTATTTCAAGATAAATGAATACTGCCCTGGTCAATTGTGCTCAATAGTTTGTTGTTTTCGAGTCTATCCTTAGTCGAGTATTCTTTATGGTTAAGTATTTGCATTTATATCTGGCAATCAATGAGTCTTCGAATGGGATAGTTGGTCTTGAAGCAAATGGTATAAATTTTTTTATTTAACATAAGATTCTTTGATTTTCTTTTAATTGTTTTGGAACAAAGTATATAACTAATCAAATTTTTGAACGAAACAGATCTTCTTCCACCCATAACATCGACAATCTAGTTAGCAACGATATAAGTAATGTCAACATTATAGATAGTATCAAAAATGAATCAATCATAAATATAGTTATCATTGTAATTTTGGTTATGGGCATTAATATATAATGGCAATATTAAATCTATAAATAATAAGAGATCATTGAGATCAAACAGCAACTTGTGTTAAAAAACTTCGACCTGGATTCATTAGTAACGAGATTGTGTTTTAATGATATAATTAATTATATCAAAATAGAAAGAGAAAGTTGCTATTTCATCCATCCAGCATCAAAAAGAATGACAGAATAATATTTTATTTGAGTAGTTGATATATTTAAAGAAATTAAATAATGTCACAACTTTGAAGCCATTTGTTAGCTACAAATTTTACATATAACAACAACATCAGTATTTAAAAAAGGGAGGATTGAAAAAACAACTACAATTGCAAAACAAACCCTATTCTTCTACAACTACTTGATAACGAAAAGAAAATTGAGGTTGAAGAAAAGGACAAAATCATGGTTTGAAGAATTGAATCAATCAGCCACCCAGCTCAATACAATATCACAATAATAGAATTGCGGAAGAAATTGATTTTATCAATAAATTTAAATCTAAAAAAAGAAAATGCGAGACAAATCTTGGAGTAGAAGAAAATATATATCATAATTTAAAATTTGGGAATACAAAATTCTGGTTGGCTGGCTAATTTGAATTTTGCACGCGCGTCAATTTAAATTTCAAATTCACGCGTACAACATTTATTTTATTTAGTATTAGAGAATAGAAATAATGATAGATATAAATAACGTGAATGGTAGATGTAATTAATAGTTTTTTAGGCGATGTTGGTACGCGAACGATGTTCTTAGTTTACTCGTTTTTCAATATTCATACTTTATAATTATTAAACCATATTTTTATTGTGTTTTCTTTTGATATGTCTTTTTGTAAAATAAAATGTTAATATTTTTATTTTATAATCAGATCAACGATGTTTTATTTGTGAAATTTGCTAGAAATAAACATTGAATTGTTTATTGGTTTACCTGATTTTAAATCAAATAACAATTCATTAAATTTATTCTATTGTTTATCTATTTTAGTAGAAAGAATCAATAGATCAATGATATTTTAATAGTGTGCATTTTATTCAAAAGAATTTCTAATAAAGGATTGTGCTTTTGGATGGTAAGACGCCTCCATGATCCCTCTGCTAGTGACGAACGCAATTGTTGAATTAACTCTAAATATGCTTGATTGGATTTCACTTGTATAAATGTTTATCCTTCGAGCATAGATCTAGGAAATTATTAATTTCTTAAAAGATTAGGCATAGTAATACTATATGGTTCAAAAGATTATAAATTTTTAAGTTAATCTACTTTTTCTAAATCAGTGATTGAGAAAAGATAAAAAACTTGATGCATCTCATCTCATCTCAAATACTATTACATAAGTGTTACAATTGTAATAATAGTAAAGTAGCCAAGAAAAATTCGAATGCATAGTTGATCATTACTATTGCTATATAGTGATGAGGGAGTTTGGTTTGGTTTGGTTTGCTTTCGTGGAACCGGTTTAAACGGTTTTTTGAACAACATTACATGAGCCCTTATTAAATACCAAGAAAGGCAATGACTTTCAAACAAATAGGATTCCTTTTTGGAAATACGCCCCACATCAAAAACCAGTTTTCATTAACACAAAATCCATTTTCAGCATGTATCCAAATAAAAAAATTTAATTGTTTGTGTTACATTTTGAATATGTGTAACCGGTTCGAACGGTTTGAACGGTTTCAAAAACCAAACCAAAAAAAAACCAGTTCAAACCGTTTGCTAGTGAAACCGCCTATCCATAACTATTACTGCTTAACAGAAATTTCCCTTGTTGATCTGATCCATCTCAAATTAACAACATTATTTTTGGTATCACAATACTCCTTCCGCCATTAGTATTAGCATAAATACAAAAGAAAATAAACAATTAATGTAAAATATATTGTATATTTTTCTATTTTGAATTCTTTCTTTTTTTTTATTTATTAATAAATTTCTGTTGAATGGTAAATAAAGAAAATTTTGACATTATTTATCTAAACTTATCCATTTTATTAATTAATTTTATTGTTATTGATCCGAATTTTTATCCATTTTATTAATTAAATTTATTCAGTCATTTATCCGAACTTTATCCATTAATGCATATCAGTGAAGCCTCCATTTTTTATGAAAAATGGAACTATACAGTAGATTCTGTAGATATGATACATTTATGGAAATGTATATTTATATAAATGGAGTTTAATAATGGAAAAACACAGACTAATCATGGAGCAAAATTTTTACAGGACAAGGCTTAGTGTCAACAATTTCTGAAACTATGTGAATGAGGTTGTGGGCTTATTAAGTCCAAGAATTACTTGAAATGCTTTACTGAACTAAGATAACTGAAAACAAACTCTCAAAAGAATAAATAAGGACAATGGCTGTTCTATAGAAAATATCAAAATATGGGTATAGGGTTTTATTAATGATCTTATTGACTGTGATCCAACTAAAATTAGTAGAGAAATGTATCTTTACAGGTATTTGCAATCCTATTATTTGCAATTATATACAACCTTAGGAAGAATAATGAAATTTTTACAGATTTCTATGACAAATATGCTCAAACAACTGATACCCCTCCCTATTGGTAAAAATCAAGTGTCAAGAACATTAAATGCATTAGGCCTAAAATCCATAATGAAGAAGGTAAATATACCTGGTAAAAACCCGAAATGTTGTATGGTTTTATATGCTACAAAGGATGAGTTATCCGAAATCTTTCAAAAAAAAAAAGGAATTTGAGAAGTTTGTTTACTGCACCACAGTCATGTGATTATTCTGTCAGTGACATGATGTCATGTTCATTTCAAAAATTTTTATAAATTCCAATGTGATAAATTTTTGATCTATATAACCATTAGAAAGGTGCCAAAGAAGAATCTTACATCCTTCTATATATTTTTTTGGATCTGATGGCATGAGGTTGTGTCGAGTCTCAAAGATTGTCAATAATGTTAATACAATTTCTTGTTATTTGCTTATACTAAATTGTAACAACAATTTTCACAAATGTATATTTATGCTTTATTCTCAAGGCTATCTTTCACTATCATTAAACAATTTCTTGCTAAGCAATACTAACAATATATTCTTTAAATTTTACACTATATCCTGATCACATTTATTGATTGGTGCTCTTCTTAGCTGTTACTCCCTATTCAAGTCAGGTACACTTCCCAAGACTACTAAATAAAATTCATTAAATATTACCTCATTAAAAGAAAAGAAATAAAAAATAATAATAAAAATAGAGACAAATACAAAATGGTTATGCACGGAATTAGTATATATTATCATTATGAAATATAAAATTCAAAAAGATATGACAAAGATAAGAATAAGGACAGTTTATTATTTATTAAATGACCGAATTTTCTTTAAAAATTTCTTATAAAAATTATCAATAAAATTATCATTTATAATTATATTTTCAAAGTTAGATCAATCATCTGTAGATTTAATTCATGGAATTATCATCTGAAAATTTGATTTTACCAGATGTGTTATATGGTTTAGGGTTAGAAGAATATGAACCAAATGAATTGGTATTTTAAAGCAGTCCAATATTTGAAATTATTCTTTGAAGATGAATCAAATTGCAAATGTCATAAAAAAAAAGGTAGAATATGTTTTAAAAAATTTGGCTTTAAAAATTTTTTAGAAAGACAATTCCATTTAAAAGGATCAGGAGATAATCAACCAGGTCTTTGTATTAAAACACAATTAATGGCTTTTAAATTAAACAATGATGAAACAGAAAGAGATGTTTATAATTATCAATATAATTCATCAATATCCATTTGTCAGCCAGTTTTTTTAGAACTAAGTGTTTTAGTATAAATAAATTAAAAGCCTTGCAAAAGCATCCAAAAACAGATGTTTAATATATCATATACATGGTAATACTGGTAAAGTTCCTCAAAATAGTTCATGTGCAATTAGTAATCTCAAAATTGCACAATTATTTTTTATTGCAATACTCAAATTTATACAGACTACCACCTCCTATGAGAATGAGGGACGAATCAGAATTAATCATTTATTGATTATTTTTTGTCAAAATTGGTGTAGCCTTTGTGAAAAATTCTTTATTGCCGATCACTATTTTTTTTACTAAATAAATATGACCTGATTTTTTTGCCAGTTATAATCTTTATAATGCAAAAAAACTCAATTTTGCTCAGCGGGCACCTAAAGGTACCTTTTTCTAGAGAACCCTCATATATAGCATTAGAAGATAAGATTTTAACACATAATAAGCCAAAAATGTCTTATAACCACCAAATACAACCCCCCAATCCAAATGAGATTAATGTAAATGCTAATATAATTTAGGATGGATGCAAAGATCTCAATATTTTTATTCAGAGGCTACAGGATTCTAACCTAAACCAGGGGACTGTTGTGGCCAAACTAATACATCTACACATAGACTCTGGGATATTGCTAAATGGAAGAATGAACAATCAACTCCACTTTAGGCTCAATTATAACAAAATATCTAGGTACTCAATCAGGCTAATACTCAGCTTATACAGGCCCAGAAAGATCTTACTCACATTCACCAGGATTATCTTCAGCTTAATGTTGCTCACACTCAGCTCAACAATACCCATAATCTGTTTGCAAACACCTGGACTCAGTTTAACAATAATTAACTTGTCCATTTTATTTGGACCAAACATTAACTTACCCTGGACCATAACTTCCAGACTGGGCAATTACAAATATTCCAACAAAAATATACCAAATGGAAAAGAAAAACCAAAAATATTGATGTTATTTGGCTGGAAAATTTCCCAATTGAAGCCTTGATATCCTTATTAAAACAGTATGGCAGGAGTTTCAGTAACAGTACCTAATTTTTCAGGAGATCTTGGTGAAGATATTAATACTTTTATCAAGCAATTCAAAGGATTTCTAAATAATATTAATATTGATGTATCAAATGTAGCAGCAAGAATCCTCTGAAGTTGTTTGAATAAATCTGCTGGTGATTGGTATGATGAAAATATTTTTTGTAAAAATCAGATGCTAACTAATATATATGATAATCATGATACAAATACTTTAGCAAATCTTCAAACACAAACCATGGTACAGATGATTGTCACCAACAGTTTTAGACCACACCCTTCAGCACATGCCTATGCAAATATTGGAACCAATAAAGCAGTTACAGTAAGAGCTGCAGAGACCAGAAAACTTACACCTTGAACTTTATGTAAGATTGGTCTAATTCTGGTGGAGAGAGGTACCTAGATTAAATGTGCTAATGGCAATACTCCTATAATATTACCTGGAATTCATATTGGTCAAACTATTTACTACCTTAAAAACCTCTATCTTACAATATTAGAAGAGAGAAACCAAGTAGAATTTGGTACTCTTGACCAGGGTAATGAACCAGTTAAAACTTTCTATGTAAAAGTAAGAAGATATGGTAAGTTACTAAATTTTGGTGATGAAGTAAATAACCATCAATTATTTAGGGGATTATCACCAGACTACCAGCTTAAAGTGTAATGAATTAGTGCTGAGAAGTCTTTATCAAAGTTAGTTAAAACTCTGGAGAAGGTTGAGAAACACAAATCTGAAATGAAATTCAGCTTATTAAAAAGAACTGGATCTATTGACTATCAAGCCCAAATACAGCCTACATAAACCAATTCCTCCCAGGTTTTCACAGGAAAATGTAAATAGAATGATTAAGGATGCTATTGAAAAAGTTACACAAAATCAGATTCAGCAAAAATTCCTGTTAATCTTCCTTCTGGTCTCCCAGAAACTTATAAAATTAAAAAGAACTTGATGTTTTTAAAAAAAGGAAAGTTAATTAGTTTCTTTCTGATTTTGATTGTAAATTGGTTACATAAAATTTACAGTGAATCCTCCATAAGTGCACCCTCTATAAATGCACACACTCCATACTCTGCATTGCACAGTCTTCTTCCATCCCCGTACATATAAATCACCCTCTCTAAATGCACGCCCGTGACTTTCACGTGATCAATTGCTAAATAAATTCGTGTTACATTAATGAATTGTTCAAACATTATTTTATATATATATATATACCTATTTATCATCTTTGTTACAGATGTACACCTTTTTTTTAATATTAATAATGGAAAATAAAGGATTAAGCAAGCTACTTCTACTTATAAAGAATTAAATGAATGGTTGCAAATTCTTTCTTTTTTAATTGACAAAGAGTTATTAGAATAATAATGATAAAAACACAAATGGAGAAACATGTAGATGAAATCAAAAAGATTAATTAAACAAAGGATAAAAGGTCATTAATTTTTTTTTGATATTTATGCATAGTAACAGTAACAGAAAATAAAATAAAGGATTGATTGAATTGTTTGCTATTTACAAGGATTAAGTATTCTTTCTTTTTTAATTGATGAAAAAGAGTTATTAATAAGAATGCAGATGATGGAACTTTTATAGGCGAAATTATTACAAGATAAGAATGAAAATTTTTAGAAACAAATTCACTTACTATTATCACAAGTTTTAATAAAATAAAAATCATTCGCCATTATTTAAACATCTAATTTTACACTCTTGTTCTTACCACATTTATATTTTTTTTATTACCTTTGAATAAAATGCCTCCAAAAAGTAAAATAACTTTATCTGACTCCCAAAATTTTGAATTTTGTTTACATGTTCGCAATAGTAATAAAGTGACCAGAAAAGAATATGCAAATTGGATTGAACAAAAATGGGGGTTAGGGTAGATGAATCAACTATAACAAGAATATTGCAAAAAAGTGATGATATACTTAACACTGAAATCACCAATCCCGAAGCTAAAAGACACAAATCTGTAACAGTTCCTGAGTTTGAACTTGCTCTTAGGGAATTCGTTTTAATTTACCAAGACAAAGCTATCTTAAGTGAAGCTGTTTTAATTGAAAAGCCAAGCAATTGGCAGATGGCTTAAGAATTCCAGATGGAACATTGGTATTTTCTGCTGGATGGCTCCAAAAGTTTAAAGAACATAATGGAATTCGTCAACAAAAGCTCCATGGAGAAGCATCATCAGCTAATTTAGCTGCCATTGTTGAGGCCTTACTGTAAAATAGTAAATTATAGATCACGGGGAACTAACATATAAATCAGAAATGATTTACATATATCACGAAGTGAAAATTTGGAAGCGATTATCATGGAATAACCCAACAAGAAGTAAACCAGTTCAATTTAATAAATGTTACACTAATTAATAAGGCGGAAAATATCCCAAATATTGGAATAATCATGTAGTTATCCGCGAATTTGCCGATCCCCGCGAAATTTCCCATGAGAATATAGCATAGTGTGAGATAATTTTGATCTTGCTGATGATCTGGACTTAGAGAGGCTACAGCTATATTCTAGTAAGTTTCAGAAGCAACGGGCTCTGTGTAACCGCCTGCATATTATACAAATGACTGTTGCACAAAATGAGTGTCCATTATGCTTGAGAATATTCGAAGTTTGATATCTGCATATAACTGAACATGTTGGATATAGTCCTAAATTGAAAGGCACTTCCATTAATATTTCTTTCAGCCAATCTCCTGAGTCAGTATCATAACCAATTGGTAATGAACCACTGTCATCTTTAATTGTTGAATCACTGTCATCACTTGTATCAGTTAAGTAATTTTCACTTGACTCAATCTGTAAAATCAAAGCAAAATATAATAAAAATAGAATTTATTATTTATTTTTTTTATTTCAATTATTTCAAAAATAATAATCATTAAATAAAATTAAATATCTTACCTTTCTATCTTTTAAAAAATATGGCACAAAATGATTTGGAATGAATTTATTTTCAATTAAGATTGTATTTACTTGTGCTTTTGTTCGAATTGATGTATTTGTCCAAAAAATAAATAAAGGCTGTTCAGTGACAACAGCAATTTTGCCAGATGATGGTTGGAATGGTTTAATTTCACAATTATATATTTCACAAATTAATCTTAGGTAGATTGTATGGACTGGTTGTTTAACAACGTTGGCCAATCCATACAATGCTATTAATGAGCACCAAGAGAAGTTGCTGCACATTCTTTTTAATTCAGATAAATAAGCAAAATATTTTGGATACTCAGGATCATTCAAATTCTGTTTTTTCAAAGATTCAACTGAATTTAATGCATCATCCAAATAAGTAATATCTGTTTCAAAAGCATCAATTTCTAAATATTTTCCAGTATTTTTCATAAGTTCAATTATAACAGCAAGCCTAAACTGCATACAATAGCCCTCACCTCCATATAAAACAATAGAGGCCGAATTGAATAAACAATTTCCATTTGCAGTAGAATTCTCACAGACTAAGTGCTTATATTCTTCAGGTAGCAAGAAGCAAGAACCATTACCAATTTTTATATTAAAAGGTAGATGTCTAGAAATTGTAAATTCAAGGAGAATTTCATTAGAATAATCATTTGTATAATTATTATTTTCTAAATCTGCTAAAGTTAATCTAGTGAAAGAAAATTGTAAAAGGTCTGCCAAGATAGCAATTGCTTGGTTTGAATTCATTTTAATTAGAGATTAATTGATGTTTTAATTTTGCTTTGTGAATGAAAATTAATTGATTTTTTAAAGAAATTTAACTTTGCTTCATGTTGTAAATGAAAATTAATTATTTTTTTTTGCTTTGTTCTTGTGAATGAAAAATTAAATTTTTTTAAACCATAAGAAAATTGAGCTTTATTTATATTCTCAAAAAATTTTATTTTTACATTCATTTTATTAATCTTTAAAACTAAGCATTCAACAACAAATAACCTGATGATTTTAAACAACATACATTTCTGTGATATTTGATACTGGTCAATGAATTTGTTAAAAATCAGAAATAATGTGACCGGTCATTTATTTCTGTCTTTTTTTTAGTCAATTAATGATGATCATTGAAAAAACCAATTTATTAAATTTCCATTTGGTGTTTACTTAATCAAGTAAATGTTTAAAAAAAGAAATTAATATTATTGTTAATTTCCTTCACCATATTCATTGTAGTTGGCCACAATTATTTGCGGCTAACTACATAATTATAACAAGTAGGTTTTAATAAAAAGAATAATAATAATATTTATTGTCAATTTCCACAATTTCCTTTTTATGTTAGGCAACATCTGCATTTCCAGATTTAATATTAATTTTAATTTTAATATTAATATATTATTAACAATTATTTAACAATTATTATTATTATTAACAATTATTAATAAAGGCGTGAAAAAAAATTCTAATTTTGGGATAGAACATTTTTTGTCTGATATAAATATTT